ATTCCACCACTTAGAGTCAATGACGAACGGCTTATCACCAACGAAGAGAAGGCCAATGCAATTGGGGAGCACATTGCCCAGTCGCATTTGCTTGGCTCTACAATCCCAAGTCCACTCGAGAACCAGGTTGTGCAGTGCGTCCAGACGTTAGATGCCTCCCCTTGTGCCGTCCCTCCAGAAGAACGGATTACAGAGGAACAAATTTGCTCAGCGCTGAAACACAGTACGAACATGAAGGCTCCCGGGTTTGACGGAATATTCAACCTAGAGTTGAAAAATCTCAGCGCGAGGGTGCACTCGCTGCTGGCTGCCATCCTCAACAGATGCTTGGAGCTGCACTACTTTCCAAGCATCTGGAAGGTGGCAAAAATCATCCCGATCCGCAAACCTGGGAAAGACCCTTCACTACCGTCAAGCTACAGACCGATTAGCCTGCTCTCAGCGCTGAGCAAGCTGTTCGAAAAATTGATCCTCAGCCGATTAAACAAGTTTGTGGAGGAACATGACATTCTTCTTCCGGAACAGTTCGGGTTCCGCAAGGGGCATTCCACCAATCATCAGCTAGTGCGGGTGATGAATAACATCCGAAGTAACAAAGCTGTATCCAAGTCCACAGCCATGGCCTTGTTAGACGTCGAAAAGGCGTTTGACAATGTCTGGCACGACGGACTTATATACAAGCTTTGTAACTCCAACTTTCCACCATACCTTGTGAAAATCACCCGTAACAATCTCCAGCAAAGGTCGTTCAGGGTGTCGTTGAATAGTTCCCTTTCGGGACAATTTCCGATCCCAGCAGGTGTTCCGCAACGGAGTCTGCTGGGACCACTGCTTTACAGCATCTACACGTCGGACATCCCTCCTCTAGGAGACGGTTGCGTGTTCTTTCTGTTTGCAGATGACACCGCGATAGCCGTCAAGGGTAGGATGCCTCGTGAAATTACGAACAAGCTCCAACGATGCCTTGACACCTTTACTGATTATGCCACCACGTGGAAAATCATAATCAACGCCTCGAAAACCCAAGCGATCATGTTCCTTCACAGACAATCATTAAAACTTAAACCGTCTCCCTTCTGTACCGTAATGATGGATGGTACAAGGGTTCGAGTGGTCCACTGATGTTACTTATCTCGGGATGTTGTTCGATGAGAAGCTCCTGTTCCGCTCGCACATAGAGAAAACCCTAGTTAAGTGCTCCGCCTTGGTTAGGTGTTTGTATCCGCTCATTTGCCGCAGATCCCGCCTCTCAAGGCAAAACAAACTGGCTGTTTACAAACAGATCATAGCCCCCGCGATCTTCTATGCCGCCCCGGTGTGGGAATCGTGCGCTCAGACCCACAGGAACAAAATCCAGGTTGCACAGAATAGAGTGTTGAGGATGATCCTAGATCGTCCATTCGACACAAGAATAGCAGACCTCCATCAAGAGGCAGAAATTCCCAAAGTAGATTCAAAAATTGATGATATGACAACTAAATTTATTCAAAAATGCAATCTTTCTGAACATGCTTTAATAAGCAATTTGTACATAAAGGGTGATACGGTCAAAATTTGGTCAATATCAACTTGACGTATTTCTTTCAATTTTGCATTTAAAAAACCTGAACACCCCTCATTTTGAAGGTGTGTGTGTGTAGAATGTTGCTCCTATTTTGATTTTGGAATTCACTCTTCAGTTGTCAAAATGCCGTCCAAGCAAGAAGAGCAGCGTATCAAAATTTTGCTCGCGCATCGCGAAAATCCGAGCTACTCGCACGCAAAGTTGGCAAAATCGCTAAAAGTTGCCAAATCAACTGTTACAAATGTAATTAAAGTGTTTGGGGAACGTTTGTCGACAGCCAGGAAGTCTGGATCGGGGGGAAATCGAAAACCGGAAGCCGCTGAGACGACAAAGAGAGTTGCCGGTAGTTTCAAGCGAAACCCTAGCCTCTCTCTCCGAGATGCCGCAAATAAGCTGGGTGTATCGTCTACAACCGTGCATCGAGCCAAAAAACGAGCCGGACTATCGACTTACAAGGAGGTAGTGACTCCAAATCGCGATGATAAACAAAATACGACGGCCAAAGCGCGATCCCGGAGGCTGTACACGACGATGCTGACGAAGTTTGACTGCGTGGTAATGGACGACGAAACCTACGTCAAAGCCGACTACAAGCAGCTTCCGGGACAGGAGTTTTATACGGCAAAAGGAAGGGGAAAGGTAGCAGATGTTTTCAAGCACATGAAACTGTCAAAGTTCGCAAAGAAATATCTGGTTTGGCAAGCCATCTGTACCTGTGGCTTGAAAAGCAGCATTTTCATAGCTTCCGGGACTGTCAACCAAGAAATTTACGTGAAAGAGTGTTTGAATAAACGTCTGCTGCCTTTCCTGAAGAAACACGGTTGTTCCGTACTGTTTTGGCCGGATTTGGCATCTTGCCATTACGGTAAAAAGGCCATGGAGTGGTACGCCGCCAACAACGTGCAGGTGGTTCCCAAGGACAAGAACCCTCCCAACACGCCAGAGCTCCGCCCAATTGAGAAATACTGGGCTATTGTCAAGCGGAACCTAAAGAAGACCAAAAAAACTGCTAAGGGCGAGCAGCAGTTCAAGGCAAACTGGCTTTCTGCGGCGAAGAAGGTGGACAAGGTGGCTGTACAAAATCTGATGGCAGGGGTCAAGCGTAAGGCCCGGCAATTCGGATTTGGAAAAGTGGAAGCCTAACTGAATATTTTTCCTGAATTTTATACTAATTGAACTTGAAAAAGAAATTTAATTTGATTTTTTAAATAAACGATTTCACCGATTTACACGCGTTTTCCCTTGACCAAATTTTGACCGTATCACCCTTTAGTAGGTTAAGTGTATATAGTAGAGTAGGTTAGTTTTAAGCTGTAAATAGTAGTATTAAGTAGTTTCTCTTCAAATTCTAAAAACAAACAAACCAATCCCACCAAGGTGGTCGACCGTGTACTAAGTCTAGGACTAATTCTGTAAAACAAATTTTGAATTTTGCCCATACTTAAAGATGAAGAAAGCAATTAAATCACTTAGTAAAAATTTATATGGTAATCGTCCAAGTTAAACTAAAATAAAGATCATTTAAACTAAACTACATGTTCGCCGCAAATTTTCAGTTTTGCGACGCTTGGCTCGGTGGAAGTTATCGTCAAACTCATTTGAAGGACGACCACCTTTGTTTCTACCTTCTTCCGATGTTGATGAGTTAGGTCCAGAAAGCACAAGAAAATCTTCGAGCCATTCAGCGTTTGCTTTTAAGAAGCGTTGCTTCATCCATTTCACGTTGTTCCATCGACGCAAGTACTCTCGAAAAAAGATTGAAATGTGTTGCTTACATTCTTCATCAATACATCCTACATATGTTGCAATGAAGTTATTAATTGCAGTACGCTTTTCTTCTGAATCCGGTATAGCATAGACCGCTTCAAAATATTTTTTTCTTTTTAAGAACATTTCTAATTAAATCAAAGTCAACCATTAAATGTAAACAATATTTTTTTTTTTCAATATAAGATCAATTACCTTTTGGTTGAGAACACACTTAACAACTGCTTGTTTTAATCTGTTTTCTTGTTTATAAATTCCTGCCGGATAAAGTACATCGGAAACTTCCAGTAACATGGTCAACATATATAAAATTTTTAAACTACTCTGGTAATCCGTTGACGTTTGAACAAAACTATATAGGAAACTCCGCATCCAAGAGCAGCACAGTACATACTTATGAAATATTTCAGTGTCATACTGAATACCCGAGTAAAACATCTGAGAGAATGTAAATTTTAGTTTATATTGAATATTAAAGCATAGTTCAAATATCATGTAACGCGAAACATTAAATTTGGTATGAAGAATGAAATGCTTCGTATTACGTAATACGTCCTCATAAGTGATTATTAAAATTATTTTCGGGTACGATGATAGGATAAAATGAACCGAAATAACTATTGAGTTGAAATAACTCAAGAAATTGTCAGTCTAAAATTTATTCGGATCCGAAAGATTATTTCACACTTTAGGGGGATTAGTTTGCATTTTTAATAGTTGTCAATGTCAATGGACTCAGCACCCAAAAAATTTACACTATATGTCATTTTCAGTCAGTTTCACTCATATTTTAGGTTTCGTCCGATTTTTGTTCGCAGTTCTCCAATTTAATTGTAATCCTCACCATCCAAAGTATTCTCCTAAAAATTTTAAAGGAATAATGCTCCGGATTCATTTTGATCCACAAATTTCCTCAAAAAATAAAATAAAAAACTAATAAAAATTAAATTAAGGTACTGCCAATCAAATGACCACTAGGGTCAAAAACTGGCATACTTACCCGACTTAGCTAAGATTGTACGACAACAGCACTGAGTGTTCATTAAATGACAATTTGACCGCTACTTCTTTATCTTTCAAGGTAAAATAGAACCACAAACCTGATTAGGTGCTCATTTTTCAGTTATTTGTATAGAGTTCATTGATCAATTCACTGAAAAGTGTGAATCAATATCATAATTAGTCACACCACCTTTCAAGCTCGATTACAAATTGCTTGCAAAAGCATTCTAGCTGTGTGATTCTAATTTGTATGGTAAGCTCATAATAAATGTCACAATTCGTTTCGACAGCACTCATTCGCTCTAGATTATTATCCATTTCCAAAACAGCTAAAAGAAAAATATTCATCTAATACTGTAGCTTATACCACGCACATGCGCCACACAGCATCACACGACCACATCGATAGCACACCGATAATCAGCCGGTCCAATGGATAGCTATGTATTAGCTTGGCCGGCAACAAGCACGTGGGTTTTCGTATTTGAAAGCCGGTATTCACCTGGCTCATGTATAGCATCATAGGAAAGACGATAGAACGTAAACAAACACATCGCAATTTTTGACACACGACCTCCCGGTTGCTGGTGACTGATAATAAAAACGATACTTGAAATTCGGACTGTGAGGTTTTTCGAGCGAAAATATTCAGAAGCATAGTGACATTGAACGTGAACGTGGTCGCTGAGTTGATTTTGTGCGTCTTGTTGTGTGCCATTTTTCGGAAATTGAAGCAAAATGGCTAATCCAAACCAGGAGATCAAGTACACTAAGGTAAGTTGATTTACTCTAATAGTTCTTAAAATCTGAGTTGAGATCGGTTGCGAAGTTATGTCTCGATAGGGGGAAATATTTTCCCACACCTCAATCACGATCAACACGCAACATGGTAATGGGAACAGATTGACATGCATAGTTCACAAGTTGTTGCTGTTTCGAAATCCAGTAGAAAACGTGAGATAATCGTTGTTTGCCGTGATTGCACAGAACCGTCGTTGCAACACACTCCGTGCAAATGTGCATAAGGTAGCTGAATGCTGAGCAAGTAGGAAAATTAGTCAAACATGGCCCGCTTGAGGTATCCTGCTGAGCCCTGTTCAGGCCAAAACAATAATGCTCCGGCTCATTGTCTTTCTTCGAGTGCTTACTCAAGGAGTGCTGCTTGTACAGGAGAAGGGTTTGGAATTACGTAACGTTGGGTTCTTTGTGCGAAAAAGACAAATCGTTTTGGCTGAAGGGCATCGCAGCCTATGTTATCAATATATCTGCTTGGATGATGAAGAAGATTCTTCGAGTTCTGCTGTTGTAACGCATTCCGGGCGAACAGTGTTGCCAGTGCTCAATGAAACATACATCGCAATGTACCGGGAGAAAGCATGGCATCTTTGCTGAAATCATGAGAAAGATCACTAAAAATAGCATCGATTGGGCGCGGTCGATAAATCATTCGGCTCTCGTCACCTCCCGCTCCCATTTTCTTGGTGTGACCCAGCGACCGGGCAGTGTAAGACGTAAAACGTAAGATCTGCGCGGATCGATTTTTATGACCCGAGCATAATTTACATTTTCATCGCCTAAAATGCATAAACAATTTAAAACATTTAATACCTCACTCTTGCGAAGGGTCGCGCTCGCTGGAACCCACTACACTGCTGGAGAGGATTCGCAGGACAGTTATATATCTGCGAGTGCCATCACACTTTTGCGGTCCATCAAGGCGCAGGCATCGCCGGGACTTGCGTCCGGATAACGGACTCAATAAGTTTCGCTTTGGCAATGACGACGACGACGACGAGAGATGGTATCGCGAATTACGACGCATCGCATTACTTAAGTCATTTATCTTGTTCGTGCTCAATGTGTTGCCTTTTTGTCCATCTTTGTTTCTTGCTAAACCAGGGGGCGTTCCTTTGTTGGTGACTTTTGAAGGTTGTGAAGTTGCCGTTTTGTCTCTGAGGAGTAAGAGAAAGATTTAATTTATTTTGTGGAGTGTTCGATTGATCGATAGGGATAGGGTTTTTTGCAAAGGAAACGTTTTTGATGAAGTTTAAGGGTCTTGTTACGCAAGCAGTATATTGAAATGTTTAAAACTCACAGTGCTCTATTGTGAGATTTTGATAATATTATTCATGTTTCCCATTTCCCTTTAGTAATATTTTTAATATTTTAGTTATCTGCCTTTGTAATTCATAAACATTTGAAAGATATTTATATGATCTCCTTGCCCTTGGAAAAAGAAGTGTTTGTATCAATTGCCTTAATATTTTACTTAATATTAACATCTTCAATCTGAACCATGTCATTTTCATTCATCAATTATTGAAAAATAGGATTTTGGTTTGATGCTTGAAGTGTTAATATGCTTGAATAAAAATTATCCTTCGGGTACTACACCAACAACAAAACATTGCACTTGTTTACGCACAATCGGCGATGCAATTAATAACCACATACATTTTGACATCGTCAGCGTAGAACTGCGGGCATCCAGATGGCAGTAGACACAAAAGCTCGTTGACGAAAAGCGAAAACAGAAGAGGTCCCAGATTACTTCCTTGGGGAACGCCGGAAACGTTCGTGAACACTTCAGAACGAGAAGCACCCCAAGTAAAAAAAAAAGTTCTGATAAAAGGCTATTTGTGGCTTAAGCAGCTTGGTTGAAGGCGGTCTATAGAATTCTAAGCAGCCTCATTTTTAAATCGTTATAAGAACTTGAAAATTCCGGTACCATAATTGAAGAGCATTCCAAGCAGCTTCTGGTGGAACTTGAACGGAACTTTTAGAAAATAAATTAGAAAAAGGTTTTTGTCCTCTACACCAATTCTATATTTAAGTTCGAACTTTTATGAAAGTTATTTCTAAAGGCAGGTATTAATGTGTATTGATTTATCAGCATTAGTAGTAGAATTGGAGCTATTTGAAGGATTGTCCCAGTCCTTCTGCGTGAGAACTCCAGCACGAACCGCTACGTCATCTGAGATATATTAAAGTGAGCTGTTGTCCCGCCTTCTGTTGGTGTTTCCAGTGCTAGCTGACTGACTTGAATACGAAACACAACACTTTGAAGAACTTTAAATTGGTATTTGCCTGCAATATATTCCAACACACTTGTGGCGCAGTAAAGGGTGATACGGTCAAAATTTGGTCAAGGGAAAACGCGTGTAAATCGGTGAAATCGTTTATTTAAAAAATCAAATTAAATTTCTTTTTCAAGTTCAATTAGTATAAAATTCAGGAAAAATATTCAGTTAGGCTTCCACTTTTCCAAATCCGAATTGCCGGGCCTTACGCTTGACCCCTGCCATCAGATTTTGTACAGCCACCTTGTCCACCTTCTTCGCCGCAGAAAGCCAGTTTGCCTTGAACTGCTGCTCGCCCTTAGCAGTTTTTTTGGTCTTCTTTAGGTTCCGCTTGACAATAGCCCAGTATTTCTCAATTGGGCGGAGCTCTGGCGTGTTGGGAGGGTTCTTGTCCTTGGGAACCACCTGCACGTTGTTGGCGGCGTACCACTCCATGGCCTTTTTACCGTAATGGCAAGATGCCAAATCCGGCCAAAACAGTACGGAACAACCGTGTTTCTTCAGGAAAGGCAGCAGACGTTTATTCAAACACTCTTTCACGTAAATTTCTTGGTTGACAGTCCCGGAAGCTATGAAAATGCTGCTTTTCAAGCCACAGGTACAGATGGCTTGCCAAACCAGATATTTCTTTGCGAACTTTGACAGTTTCATGTGCTTGAAAACATGTGCTACCTTTCCCCTTCCTTTTGCCGTATAAAACTCCTGTCCCGGAAGCTGCTTGTAGTCGGCTTTGACGTAGGTTTCGTCGTCCATTACCACGCAGTCAAACTTCGTCAGCATCGTCGTGTACAGCCTCCGGGATCGCGCTTTGGCCGTCGTATTTTGTTTATCATCGCGATTTGGAGTCACTACCTTCTTGTAAGTCGATAGTCCGGCTCGTTTTTTGGCTCGATGCACGGTTGTAGACGATACACCCAGCTTATTTGCGGCATCTCGGAGAGAGAGGTTAGGGTTTCGCTTGAAACTACCGGCAACTCTCTTTGTCGTCTCAGCGGCTTCCGGTTTTCGATTTCCCCCCGATCCAGACTTCCTGGCTGTCGACAAACGTTCCCCAAACACTTTAATTACATTTGTAACGGTTGATTTGGCAACTTTTAGCGATTTTGCCAACTTTGCGTGCGAGTAGCTCGGATTTTCGCGATGCGCGAGCAAAATTTTGATACGCTGCTCTTCTTGCTTGGACGGCATTTTGACAACTGAAGAGTGAATTCCAAAATCAAAATAGGAGCAACATTCTACACACACACACCTTCAAAATGAGATGTGTTCAGGTTTTTTAAATGCAAAATTGAAAGAAATACGTCAAGTTGATATTGACCAAATTTTGACCGTATCACCCTTTATTTAGCAATCATAGATCGCATACCGTATACCCGGGTTCGAATCCAGGAAATTACTCTTTAATTTTATTTATGTTTGGATAGAATGTTGATGATGTTTTCGTGCCACTGATCATTTCATATTTACGTACATTAAATTTTGTTACTAATAAACACTTGTGCAGATTGCTTCATGTGGCTTGAAAGTTCTGTCGGAACTTTATTTGAACTTTATGGAACTTGAAAGTTCTGTCAGAACTTTATTCGAACTTTATGGAACTTGAAAGTTCTGACGGAACTTTATTTGAACTTTATGGAACTTGAAAGTTCTGTCAGAACTTCATTCGAACATTATAGAACTTGAAAGTTCTGTCGGAACTTTATTTGAACTTTATGGAACTTGGAAGTGATTTTAATCGTTGAATGCAGAACTTTTGATTGCTTGGGTCCAATCTTAACGCAAAGCGTTTACCTTAGATTTTAACCACGAGATGAAGGATCCAGACCCTCCGAGTTTCTCAAGCTTGCTCAAAAGAATGTTAAGGTCTACTAGGACAAATACAGCCTTGTGATTAGTGTAAACAGCGTCGATTTGTCCATCAGAGTCCATTTTCCGAACGCAGAGAGACAAGAATTCGGTTTTGGGTAGAATCAATGCTGAGCCGTGGAGATAAAATTTTTACAAGAGCTGAAGAGCGCCTCATTGATGATGATCTTGAATACTTTGGAGCAACAACATAGTGCTGTGATGCCTCTGTAATTTTGGACATTCCTATTATCGCCTATCTTGTGGACGGGGAACATATACAGATTAAATAAATTCACAGACAGATTAAATAAATTCACCAAGAAAGTGAGCAACGACTCCGATCACAGCTTCAGAACGGGCGCTGGAATGCCGAGAGTTTCAACCTTTGAAGAGCTAGATTGACGGTATGTTCACTGATGTGAAACGGACGGAGCACAAATGCATCTATTGGAGAATCGCTTATAGCAATCGTGACTTGATTTGGTGACGAATCTACCTTGGTCCGTAGTCCTCGAACATTCTGGTAGTACTAGGTGGGGTGAACGGTAACCTCCTTGGCGGTGCTGTAAATTCTCAAAATCAATTGAACATTTTTGATGAAAATGTGAAAAGCAGCTATCCGCTATCACAGGGGACCTCCTTTGAATGGGTGACATCAGTTGCTTAGTCATTTGACGAAGGCATGGATCATTCTCATTTGAGAAACGCTTGATATCATTCAATTGAGTGTAAACCTACACATAAACGGAGCTCTGGTCGCCATTCCGGCGAAAATGCTAAGCCAACCCGACACCAACCTGACTTCTACCAAAACCCAAACCGATTTTGACCCAACATTGACCCGGG